GGCATCGGCCTGCGCCTTCAATCCCATCCCTGCTAGTCCCGGTTCTTCAGAGGGGATCAGGTCTTCCTGGGCGGTGAAACTGTAAAATAATGCCACAGGCAAAGCACAGAAAGTCAGCTGAAACCAGCCTTCCCAAAAGACCAGGTGCCTGCTCAACCAACAGTTTTGGATTCCTCTCCAGGATTACATCTCCTTTGGGGCTATTTGTTCAGCCATCAGCTTACTGCAGAGCTGGTTTTTGCCCTGTGATAAAAAACTATAAAGATAGTAGCTTTCTCAAGGACTGATGGCATCTGTGAGCTGCCTCAGGCTTATCTGCAGCAATTTTCATGTGGCCATTCCACCAGCCCTCAGGCCTCGGTCACTGATTTTTCACACCCTTGGAATTTATTCCATGGATTCCTAATGGCCTGGGCAAGTCTGCTTGGAGACTTGCCCTGTATTGAAAGGGAGCCCCTTCTTTGCAATAAGATCACAACCAGAGTCAGTCCTGAGGGAAGGGCAAGGAGAGCCCTCTCAAGGCACAGTAAGAATTCCCCTTGGCCCAGAAGTGTGGGGTCAGGAACATAGCTTCCAACTTCTTGCTGTGTCCATGAGGATTATAGCCAGGAAAGCATGGCAGAAGAGTCACATATTCATTCATCAAATATTTATTGAGCATCTACTCTGTACAAGGTGCTCTGCTAGGGCCTGGGTTGACAGAGATGAGTAAATCATAGTTCCTAGTGGGCAAAGTCAAATACACCTACACATAATACAGTGCCACGTGATGCACATCATAACAGAGGTCCGTGTAAAGGGCCAAGGATCTCAGGGGAAGGAGGCCCTCACACTGTGAATGGTGGAGTATTATGGATGGGAAATGGCATCACAGAGGAGGTGATTGTCCAGCAGAGCTTCAAGAATGAGGAACTGAACACGAGTAGCATAAGGGCCAAGGACGGGGAGACAGAAGAGACTGTTTGGTGTTTTTTTCCCCCCAAAGCCCCAGTAGATAGTTGTATGTCATAGTTGCACAGCCTTCCAGCTGCTGTACGTGGGATGCGGCCTCAGCATGGCAGGAGAAGCAGTGTGTGAGTGCGCGCCCGAGATCCGAACCCGGGCCGCCAGCAGCGGAAGCGCGCGCATTTAACCGCTAAGCCACGGGGCTGGCCTGAGACTGTTTGCTTTTGATCCCTCCAGAAGTAGGTCCATAGATAAGGACTTAAATGCAATAGTTAATTTGGGAGATGATCCCAGGAAACAGTGGTAGGGGAGTGGAAGATACAACAAGAATGGCAGAAGGGTGTGTTATCTTGACAGTGGCCATTGTCAGCAATTGAAGCTCAAACTCTTTGAGCAGCTCTGGGAGTCAGTGCAGTTGAAGCATGTCCCAGAGTTATCCTAACAGAAGGACAAAGAAGCTGGGGCAAGGGGAGTTGCTTCCAGGGACACTTCAGGCCTGCCCTGCCCAGGATGCTCCCACAGTGAAAGAAAAGCCACAGAAAGAAAGATGCAGGTGTTTGCAGCAACCTTTAGTGTGGACAGGTAAATGTGGCCTGATGTGACCAAGGCCCCATAGCATCTGCCACAGGGGACCAAAGGCACTGAAACATGAAGAAAGCATCATGAATTATGTACTGTTAATGAAGTGGTAAGAAATAAAACTGAAAAAGAAAGTAGAAGTCAAATTGTATGCCTTGTTAAGGGGTTGAATCTTTATCTGATAGGAGATGGGAGTCATTGAGGGATGGGTAGCAGAGTGCTATGGTTGAATGAGCTAGTGCCACATAAGCAGGACAGGTTTTGAGATGGGAAGGCAAAGTGACACACAGACAACGGCCCTGCCAGCACACCTGATGGACTAATCAGCAGCACTGACAGGGATGTGAATAAATCGTTCCCTCTTCTGCCCTCCCAGGCAAAGCAGGGCGCTAATGCTATTATAATAATTAGTTGTGCATGTCTGTGCTTACCCAACCAGACCATCAGTTTATGGGCTGTGATTTCGTGCATCATCCTGAGCCCAACACCCAGTGCAGGGTCTAGCACATGGCAGGGACCCAGAAAGTATTTGATTGATGGATGACCAGGTTGGTTTATACTCATGGCCCTACCCAGAGCTATTCACTGTACTTATAGCAGAATTGTCCTTGCTCTCAATGGGCACTAGATTTTCTCATGTATGCATTTTGGAAGTGGGAAAGGCAGTGCTGATGGGATGCTCTGAAGTAGCTTGGAACTCCTTCCCTATAAGCCTGGAGCTGGTCACAGAAGACGCTTCCTTCCCCCTGTGCTGCTCCAGCAAGGCCTCAGTGGAACTCTGCCCAATTGTCACTTCCATGGAAGACATTTCGCCACAGTCCCAATGTCATCACAGGAGGTTGGACTTTCCCTCTGGCCTTGGCCAACTAAGTGGACTAGCTTCTCTCTGCCTAGATCGGACAGCAGTTGCTTCTGGTTGCCAACCAGCGAAAGAGGCTATCATTGTCACTCAACAGGAGGATAGTTTTCTGAAGTGGCTGTGTGACCTTTCCAAAAAATCCCCATGGAAAGGGGAAATATCCTGATGGTAAATAAGTGGAAAATAGAAACAATTCAGTTGCCAAAATTGTTTCTAGAATCAGGCTCCACACCCAGTGATTCTGACCCAGATCTCAAAGTAGAGGAGATTTAATAGGATCCCATCATCACAGAGTCCAAAAAGAATCTCTTCAATCCATCCATCTGCTGTAGGCACAAGCAAACTGAATTCATTAAAGAGCTATACCTCAAACATTTTAGGAAAGGAGATTCTTTATCTTTTTCCATTAGAGATCAAAAAAATTTTATGGGTAAGAAGCCCTTCGAAAAAGCAATAGAATTTATGACCTGGAAACTAATTTCATAGCTGAGGAAACTGAAGCGGTGCCAGTACTAAGACATTGTCCCTTGACCCCCAGTCTAGAAACTTCTTTCAATCACTCATCAAGCATTCTGTGGTAGAGGCCTACCATGTGGACCTCTACTTAGAGCTGGGAAAACACAGCTCAACAAGACAGTTTCTGCATCACCAGGAGGGGGCTCATAATCTAGTTGAGCAGAAACATTTGCATTTAATTAACTATAACCAAATGTCACCAATGCTATAATAAAGGCATATTCAAATGCATCTTGAAGTTTTACAAGGGTCTTTTTTTGTTTAAAAAAAATTCATGCTAATATTTATAACAGATTGCAAATGCTGCTACTTCTACCTCCTGCTTCCAATCCTCGCGTCCATTAAGAAATGTATTCAGGGGTCTGGCTCGGTGGCGCAGCAGTTAAGTGCACGCGCTCTGCTGCGGTGGCCCGAGGGTTTGCAGGTTTGGAACCCGGGCACGCACAGATGCACCGCTCATCAAGCCACGCTATGGCGGCATCCCATATAAAGTAGAGGAAGATTGGCACAGATGTTAGCTCAGGGCCAATCTTCCTTGGATATAAGAGGAGGATTGGCATCAGATGTTAGCTCAGGGCTGATCGTCCTCACAAAAAAAAAAGAAAGAAAAAAGAAATAGGCCAGCCCCGTGGCTTAGCGGTTGAGTGCACGCGCTCTGCTGCTGGCGGTCCGGGTTCGGATCCTGGGTGCGCACCGACACACTGCTTCTCCGGCCATGCTGAGGCTGCGTCCCACATACAGCAACTAGAAGGCTGTGCAACTATGACATACAACTATCTACTGGGGCTTTGGGGGGAAAAAATAAATAAAAAAAACAAAAAACAAACAAAAAAGAAATGTATTCACTTAGGCACACACTTAGTGACAGTCCCTGCGTAAATTCCTGAATTTTATTGCAAAAACAGAAAACACATGTTCCCATCTCAAGTTTGCAATGTCAAACTGTTATTTGTCCAGAGAGTTAAAGGAGCTGAACTGAGGTCCATTTACCTTTCTACTGCTTACAACCTTAGAGACATAGTCACTGTGCTGAAAATAAATGGAGTCAGCTGCTAAAAAAAAGAATAAAGAAAAAGAAAATCTGACTACATGTCCAGGTTTGTTGTAAAATCCACAATGAAACACTTAACATTTTTGAGTAGAGGAGTCATATGGGTCACTAGCCCATGTAGTGGTTGTCATTGTCAAGGCAAGAGGTTGAGGTTAGAATGTGATTTTATTTGCAAGTGTATAGAGACAAAAAGTAGATTAGTGGTTGCCTAGGGCTGGAGGTGGGGAATGGAGTGGAAAGGGAGTGATGCTAATGGGTATGGGGTCTTTTGCGAGGTGATGAAATGTTCTAAAATTTTTTGTAGTCATGGTTGCATGACTCTGTGAGTATACTAAAAACCACTGAATTGTACACCTTAGGTGGGTGAATTGTATGGTATGTGAATTATATCTCAATAATGCTGGGTTTTTTTATTATTACCATCTATTATCACTAGCATCTTGAAAAAGAAAAAGCCATTCGACACCAAAAATGTAGGAAGGACATAACATTAAACTGTTTCTTAAACCAAATACATTTATTTTTATGGAAAAAATAAGTACAATGAAAGGAAAAATTGATAAATTGGCTTACTTAATAAAACAGACCAAAAAAAAAAAAAAAAGAATGTGATTTTATTTAAGCAATATTTTTTCAATTAGTTCCTGAAAGAAAGATGCTGGTAGACTATATTGGTACTTACCATTCTAAAAAGAAAAAATGCACTAGTCTTACCGAAGCTAAGAAAGGAGATATTATCAGGAACATCGCTTTCTGAATAGTAAGACATGAGGTAGAAAATGCTGCTAGGGACAGACAGGTAAGAGTATGAATTTCCCTAATGCCATTGCTATTTAATATGACTCTTCATTCAAGAATTGAACTTGAAGGTGCAGGTCAGTGATGCATTGCAATAAAAATGCCAGTTAGTTCCTGGAACAAATCTCTGTCTGCTCCCCTACTAGTCAGTAATGACCTAGTTTCAACTGCCTGCCTCGTAGCTGGAGGCTGCGGAGAACTGTTCCAACTAACTCAAGAGATGCCCCACTCTCCTACCTGCAAATCTCCAACCCTCTCTAGCATCCTTGTTTTGATTGGTGGCCACATAAAGCTCGAAGCCTTGGAAGTAGTTGCTTCCTCTCTTTTTCTCACTGCCACCCACTCCCTTCTTCCTTACCACGTTCTGTTGGTGGTCAAATTTTCTCAGTTCTATTTATTCAACTTATCAGAAAGGGATCAATTGCAGTAAAGAGAAATCACTCCAGTTGTTTTAAGCAGAAAGAAATTTAATATATGCAATTAGGTGCATACACAATTGTTGGAAGAGCAGGCATTTGGCTGGATCTCATGGTATGACTTCCACAGTAATACTGCAGAACTGGCCTGCCAGCCACAGTCAGGGAGTTGGGGAATCAGAAAATCACCACTAGAACTATTGAGTTCAGGGACACACCACTTTCTTTGCAATCTGGGATCAGAAACTTACCACTGCCATGTTTGTAACAGAGGCATGCTATGTTTGCTAGATACACACCAGCAAAAAATGGGTGCCCAGGGCCCTGTGCTCTGTGCTATACCCACAAAACTAGAGCAGCCCTCTAGGATGCTGCCACAGGAACACTCCACGTGTTGATGACTGTGCTTGCTGGAAGAAACAGCAGAAGCAGCCAGAAACCTGGCCTCTTCCTCACTTTTACCCTCCAAATCTTACACAAATGGATCTGTTTGTCAGAACTCACATTACATTTGGAAGTTTAACTGCAAGGGAGTCTGGGAAACGTAGTTTTTAAGCTTTCCAGCCTCAGTACAGGAAGGCACACTGGAAGGAGTGTGGAATGAGATAACCACTGCCCTATGGACCTTCTCATCTCTTACCTGAACCACTGCAATTTCCTCATAACCATCTCTTTGCTCTCAAGTTCTCCTCTCTTCAATCCCTCCTCTGTGTTGTGCCTAAAACACACCTGTGATCATGTCACTTTCCTGCTCAAAATCTTGTCACTCATAAGAATACAGACCATTCTTTTTTCAAGCCTCTTAACCATCTGGCCCCAACCCCCCTTACCAGCTGCAAATCCTGCCGCTTTACCCCACCCCCAGGCTTTGGTCACACCAGATGCTAAAATTTTCACTGCACCCGCGCCCCATCTTGTTGTTCATGAAGTTCCCCTAATTAGAATGCTCTGCTACCCTTCCTTTTCTCATTTTTAATTCCGTGTTCAAATGTTACCATCTCTAGGAAGTTTCCCTCACTTTGCCCCTCTTCCACACAGGCAAAATTAATGCGTTTTTTCTGACATTTTGCATCCATCTCTATTGCCCTCCTCACTTTGTATTATGCATAGTTATATATGTGTCTGTCTTTCGAACATGAGAATGGATCTTATTTCTATTCATCTGTGTATCTCCAGTAGGTGACTCTTGGTAGATACTCAATAAATATTTGTTGAACAAATGAATAATTGAATGAATGAATTGTCCTGTGTGTCTAGGATACCCAGTCCCACCTGACTAGCTTTTCTCTTCAACTTACAGACATCCCGAGGTCTTTCTGCTCTCAAAAAGCAAGCTTTCCTTCGATCCTCTGGTTATTATCTGGTTCTTCATTTCAAGCCCAGTTATTTGAGGGAGTTGTCTACACCTGCTATCTTCACTCCTTCACTACCCGTTCACTGCTCAGCTTTACTACTCCACACCCTTGTCAAGGTCACTAGTTATCTCCTAGTTGTTAAAATGGTAGTCTTCAATCCTTGTCTTACTTAACCCTTTGCCTCACTTGACTGTGTGAACATGCCTTCCTTCTTGAATCTCATCCTTCCCTAGACTAACACTTTCTCCTCAGCCTTCTTCATGCACTCTTCTCCCTTTGTCAGGACAGAGTTCCTGTCTCCAGTCCTCTTCTCTTCATGTTCTCCCAACACTCTGGGGGATCTTATGGCTTCAAGCACCACCAACTTGCTGCCGAGACACCAAAACTGTGTCTATGTAGGGGACATCTGCTGCCTGCCAGGAGCACCTGCTCAACTGCTCACTAGGCCTGTCTGCCTTGGTGTCCCACAGGCACCTCAGATTCAAGGAGATCAAAGCTGGACTCGTGCACTATTGCAATGACCTCCTCACTGGTCTCTTTGCTGCTGCTCTGATCCCCTGCAGCGTGCACTCACTAACACAGCAGTCAGAGTGAGCTTGTCAGAATTAGAGTCAGATCTGGTCACTTCTCTAGTCAATGACTCCACATGCCATCAGAGCAAAAGCCAAAGTCCTCACAATAGCCTACAAGGCTGTACACAATCTGTCTCCATTATATTCCCAACTCATTTCCTGTCACTTTCTCCTAACATGCCTCCACTCCAGCTATACCGACCTTTTAGCTGTTCTCCAATATGCCAAGAACACTCTTACTCTGCCTGGAGTTCACTTCCTCTGGGTGTTTGAATTGTTCTGTTCTTCACCATCTTCAGTCCTTCTCAATGCCACCTTCTCAGAGAGGTCTTCCCTGACCACCTTTGAAATATTGCAACCCACCTCAGCTTTATTTTTTTTCCCTGCTTTATTTTTCTTCTTAGTACTTACCATCATCAAACCTGCTGTATATTTTACTCATTTATTTTGTTTTTTGGTCTGTCTCCCCCAACCAGAATGCGAGCTTAATGAGGACAGGATTTGTGCCCGTTTTGTTCAGTGCTGTTTTCCTAAGGTCTAGAACAATGCTTGCCACATAGTGGGTGTTCAATAAATATTTATGGAATGAATGATCATCTCTACTCCAAACCGTCTCATGTCTCCTATCTCACTCCCAATGTCTGATCAGTCACTAAGCCCCATGACTCTTACCTCCTAAATATATCCTGAATCCTCTCTTCTCCATCTACTTTGCCACTACCCTAGACTCTAACAGATATGCCAATCTGATCTCAGCACTCCCTATTTAAAATGCTTCTGAACTCCTTGGCATAACAGATAATTCTCTTCCTGAACTGGCCCCTGTCTATGTCTCAATTTCATTTTACGCCACTGCCATCCAACCCTCCAGCTACAGAGAACTCCTTGCCTCACGCCCTGAATCCACCATCTCTCTTGTGTTTTGGTGATTTTCATTCTCCTGAAATACACTTCTTATCTTCTTTACCTGGCTAACTCCTAAGCAACCTTCAGGCCTCTCAGTTCTGACATCATTTCCCCCAGACTGACTTCTTAAATCTCAGTTAGACTGCCACTAACTTCCTGGGCTTACACACTGTGAGGCCATTGGCTGGTTGCTTACCTGTTGCCATAGAATATGAGTTTCTTGAAGACAGGAACTATGTCTCATTTTTTTTTTCTATATTCAGCATGATGCACAGAACCTGACACATAATAGATGCTTGATAAATATTTGTTGAATAAAACAATGGATGAACAATTGGATCAATCATTACAGGAAATACATCGGGCTTTTAATGGTATGGTGCTGTTCCCAGTACCCCACTATGGACTCTTCCTAACATTCCTAATGATGTGGGTACTGATGAGGAGTCCAAGGGCCTGGATGGTCAAGTTATTTGCCCACAGTCACACAGTCAGTAAGTGGCAGAGACAAGATTCAGATCCAGGTATCTGGCTCCAGACTGTGTTCTTAACTGCTGTGCTTATACGGGTGATGGATGGATGGAGGGAGTATCTAAGGATATTGCAAGTAGAGAAGCAATAGAAGCAAAGGTGAGAAGATTTACATTATTTTTATGTGGGTTTTATGATCAATAAATTTGGCCACACCTGCAATGAATTCTATCCTGTAAAATACTCATCCCCTCCAGTGTTTGTCAAATTAAAACATTATCCATATTATTGAAAACACACTTCTATTCATTATCTAATGTGACCTTAAACCTCAGATCTTAGATGGGCTAAACCCTACCTCCCTTGACACACACTTTTACAGATTGATATCATAACATTTAAATGTATATCCAGGGGCTGGCCCGGTAGCATAGCAGTTATGTTCGCACACTCCGCTTCAGCAGCCTGGTGTTCACCGGTTCAGATCCTGGGCGCGAACTATGCACTGCTCATCAAGCCATGCTGAGGTGGTATCCCACATAGAAGAACTAGAAGGATGTACAACTATGATATACAACTATCTACTGGGGCTTTGGGGAGAAAAACGGAACAAAGGAGGAAGACTGGCAACAGATGTTAGCTCAGGGCCAATCTTCTTCTTCAAAACAAATGTCTATCTACATTCACTCACTCATTCAACAAACACTTAATGAGTGCCTACTATGTGCTGGGCATTGTCTTTACACTGGCACTACTGCTCCTAGAATACACACACACATATATAGCATAATGATAGACATATATAGAATATTTTGTGAGGCCGTAGAGTGTAGTGGTTAGGATCATAGGCTCTGGAGCCAGACTGCCTGGGTTGAACCCCAGCCCTGCCACTTTCTAGTGGGATCTCAGCAGTGTCACCTGCTCTGTGCATTGGTCCCATCCCCTATAAAATGGCTATAACAACAGTCTATCTCGTGGGGTTGTTGTGAGGATTAAATAGTTAATACATGTAAAGTGCTTAAGATAGTGTCTGGCAAATACTCTAGTAAGCACTTAACAAATGTTAGTAATTTTATGTTGACAAGCTTTTCTGATAAGTTACTGCTGAATGATTGAGCTTCTTATGTGAGGCTGTTTTCCGTTATAAAATTTAAAAAAATCAGGAGATCTTCTCTGGTGGGGAATAAGTCTTAAAGGGATATAAAGGAATTAATAGCACTTGTTGCCATAACAAAACCATTTCTTGGTCTCGAGTGGGCCTTTAAGGGCCTATAATTTACATCAGTGCTGCTTCCATCTCAGCGGGTGGGTGGAGGCGGGAAAAGCCTTCCGTCTAAGCAGGCGGCTTTGGCAGAGCTATTTGTGCAGGAAGAACGAAGGTCAAGGGACCCCTTGTGTTGAAGGCCTTTCTCAAAATGAAGGATTTGGCTTCCAAGATTAATGTTCGGAGTGAACCCCTGCTATACTTAATTCCCTTTTCTGTGAACTCAGTACATTTTTAAAATTCAGTTAGGGGCCCTCCTATGGTGTGGCATGGAAACCACAAGCCAGACACTCTTCTAACAGAGGTCTGAATGGCACTCCCTCACCCTTCCACCTATGGGTTGATGACTGCATTCTAGGGTCAGTCGCTGGGTTAAATTCGTTAGATTAAAGAGTGCCCAGAAATAACATGTCTTAAATTTACGCACATTAGATCCAGTGGAGATTTAATATAAAAATTAAAAAATAAAAGATTTCTTTAAAAGAAGCTTCGATGGGTAGCTAGTGGCCCCCATATGAGGTAAGGAGAGGTTGTGGACACTGTGGGGATGAGAGGTCTCTCTGGGTCAAGTTACATGTTCTAGATTAAAATAGGGTTTATTTTCTGAGTAATTTCTGTTGGGAAAAATATCACCAGCCTCAATAGAAAGTTTGGGTTCAGGTT